TATTTCACCGATTCACCATATACCAAATTATGTGCTTGGAAACTGTGTTCAGTTATTTTCCTAATTAAAATACATTAATATTTAAAAACTAAGAAGAGTCAATGATATCATAAAGCAGGTCCACATATGAGTGAGTACAAAAAGTGATATACATTTAATGCAAGCCACACTTCAAATTTTGAATCTGGATCTTCCTTGGCTAAACCCATGTATTCCATACTCTCAAGATCTTGTGCAGTCCTGGATCATGAGGGTGACCAGCCCATGCTCTGTAGCACACATTATAAGCCAGACTGGCTATTGGATTGTGTGTACTTAATGAGTTTTGTCATATAATATTCTTAATGGGCAGTGGGTTTGCCAAGACAAAATCACATCATTAAGTGGAGGCATGTGCAGTGAGGGTCACTGGAAGGCCTAGATCAAGGATGAATGAGAGAGGAACACCTGAGAGGAACACCTGACACCTGGGTGGGAGGTCACTACACGGGCAGACAATGGCAGTGAGGGAGGTGGCACAGTGCTGTGTGGATTTGTTAGGTAGTGTACTGGTGGGCAGGCCTGGAGCTTGCAGGCCTTCTGCAGCCTGTTCTCTCCATTTCCTTCTGTCTAGTCCGAGGATGGAGCAGAATCCCTCTCCTGGGAAGCTCCTCTCCAGTCTTACATCAGCAGCAGTAACTTTTTTTTTGTAACAGAACTTGACTTGTCCATTCTTGGAATTTTCTTCTGCTTTGCTCCTCAGTACTTCCTATTTTTGTTTCTGCACTTTTGTTTTTCTCTTATTGAATGTTTGGGATATGCAATATAGAAAGATTATTTACAATGAATAATTAATAGTTTTCCTATGAGAAAGCATCCATTTTTCTTTAAGACCTCCTTCAACTCCCTTTGTAAAACAATGATAAAATCACTCCTTATGAACTGCCTGTTCCTCAGTTTTTTCCTGTGTGTTTTATCTTCAGAACATTTTACAAGCTAGTATTCAGAAGGACTAAAGCTATAGGTGCTATTACTATCATAGCTTATAGATAAGGAACACAGGCAATTTACTTCTCTATACAATGCCTCTCACAGTGGCAAAACTGGGGCTTTAATTTGCTCAGGTCATCTGAGAGTGAGCTCTAAGGCTCAGTTGGGAAGTTCTATCTTCTTTTAAGGAAAGTTGAATGGGACTTTGACCTATTCATTGCAAATAAGAGAAAAGAACTGTAAAGAAATAGTTTGAGAATGAAGTGAAGTCCTGGTTAATGCTAGAAAAACCAGCACAATTGTGATACCTTCAACTGGCTTCATAAAATGACACCTTTCTAATTCTATGTTTACTTCAGTGGATGGAATGTATCATTGTCTCTCCTAACGTGGGAGATCCTAAAAACTCAATTCATTTGAAGAAGGGACATGATTGCCTGGTGCTTTGTTACAATGTTTTACTGGAAAGTATGAGAAGAGCCAGGGAAGAGGGAGCAGAAATGCTAGGGAGAGGTGGGATCTAGAGTCAGGAAGGATGATGCAAGAAAGAAGGGGGCTCAGAGGACAACTTATGGAACTGAAGCCTGACGGGTTCCAAAGAAGACTTAGCTTCCTTGGCATGTAGGCTTCAGCATGAGGTTGTCTGTACTTGGAAATATTTTGTTCCAGTAAGTATGGTTCCAAGCTCTCAACAGATGCAAACTCCAAAGATCTCTAGCCTAGATCCTAAAAGTCTTCATGTTTCCCTTTGCATAGGAGGAAAGCATGTCCCATGTCCCCTTGAAGAATGCCATCAGGGAGTGAGCGCAAGGGTCTTCAAAAGTTGGATGCAATCAAATTAGGAGGTCTGCTTGCTCCCTCAGCTGCATGTCCCTCATGTTATCCCCCAAGAAGAGTGCTAAGGAGCTATAGCTGCCCATGCCATCACCAACAAGAAACTTATACGTAAGTCCTAACAAATACTATGCTGTTCTAGGACTGAAGAAACTAGAAATGAAAACACTCAATAATAACAAATGACACCACCATATTTGACAAGTACTGGAATGAACCCCTTTGTCACTGTTATGAAAGTGAGTAGGCATTTTAAGATGTTTATGGGATTTGAAACTACCTGAAAGGATATCACATATGTATGTATTAGCACATTTAGTTATGTATAGACTAAATGCAAACTGTCATCAATGAAGTTATTTGATTTAATAAGTTTATGTTTCCCATATGAATTTTTCCTAAATTAAATCAACAGCATTTACTGGTAGTCCATCACACACAGTAGCCAGTGGCTTCTGGGAAAAACAGTTGATTCCCATCATTGTCCATTGACAAAGACAAGGGGTTTTGCAAGGTCCATGTGTAAATCAACACTAGAGATATCATTTATATATAAAACAATGCTTACAAGTGAATTAAAGAAGTGAATATTCTACCACAGTTAGTGATTAGAAACAAGTTGATAACAGGTGTGAGTCCTATTTGGACTGGAGTATTCTGATTGGTCTAATCCCTGTGGTTCTTCCTGTCATTCGTTGTGTCATCCCTCCCTCTCATGCATGAGAGATACAGCTGTTAATACTAACTGCAGGGAATAAAGACAGAGTTTTGTATTTGATGAATCTGTTTTGTTTTGTTTTCAAATAGGCTTAGTTTTAATATGCTTTCTTTGACTTAAACAGATAACTCTCTCAGATCCCAAAGGAATACCTGGCATCAGAACATGTTAAATATCTTATGATGTATTTGATTTTCTGTTAACTGTTTTAAACAAAAGTCTATTGCCAACATCACAAAGAAGGCAGGGGACAGAGAGTGAAGAGAAGCGGAAAGAGAGGAAAGGAGGGGCATTTTATAGTCTATCAAGTTTATTAGAATTAGGGCAGTGAACTAGGAAAGCACTGACTACTCTAACTGAAGGCTGGGTGAACAATTTGGAAATGGGGTACCAGTGGAAGAGGGAGCAGAGTACCTCACCAAATCTTCCATCTTACAGGCAGGTTGAACTATACTTTTTTTATCTGTGCTACTTATAGAAAACTGTTAGTATATCATTATCTTAGTTAGGGTTTCTATTGCTGTGAAGCGACACCATGACCACGGCAACTCTTTCAAAGGAAAATATTTAATTGATACTGGTTTATAGTTCAGAGATTTAGTCATTATCATCACGGGAGGAAGCACAGCTGTATTCAGGGAGATAATGTGCTGGAGAAGGAGCTGAGAGTTCTAAATCTGGATCCTCAGACAACAGGAAGACAGGGTGAGACACTGGGCCTGACTTGGGCATCTGAAACCTCAAAGTTCACACCCAGTGATACACCTCTCTAACTCCTCCAACAAACACACCTACTCCACAAAGGCCATACCTCCTAATAGTGCTACTCCCTGAGCCTATTGGTGTCATTTTCATTTAACCACCACAATCATAGGAAGGGGAGCATAGTGAGGAAACACTGGACCAAAACACGACTGAAAACCACCTGGACAATCTCCACACTCTAGACCTCCATGTCTGATGCTAAACCACCTTTCAGCCTTGTTGACTGCAACACACTTATTTCTTGAGCTAGTTCCACTCCTTTTTAGCAGTTCTAACATCTCCAATATTTTGGGGTCTTTAAGGCAATTCACCAGGCTTCAGCTTCATAGCTTCATGAAATGGCTTCTCTAGGCCTCCATTCAGGGACACCCTGTGACACAAGCCTGGCCTTAGCTGCTTTCCTTAGTCCATGAGGCAAATTCCATAAGCTGTTTCTTCTATTCTTAACTCCAAGCCAGAACCACAGAGCTGAAGCTGTTAAGTTCTGTTGCTTTCTTGGGCTGGAACATGGTCCCTTTGTTTAATTACATCTTCACCAGCTTTCTATCTTTCACTGTCTAAGCTTGGCTGTCCTGAAACTTGCTTGGTAGACCAGTGATGGGGAGGTCCTTCTGTGTATGTTTGTCTTATTGGTTGATAAATAGAGTACTGTTGACCAATAGGGAAGCAAGATAGGTGGGACTAGGAGTCGAGGAGGATTCTGGGAAATGTAGTAAAGAGAATTCTTGTGATCCAGGCAGGAAGTGACATAGCAGGCAGACTTAGAATATAAGCAGGGACAAAAAGGGTGGCTCTCTGGAGCCGCCATGTGAGCCCAACAAGACAGGACACATGCTGCCTGTGTCCTCGATCAGATTAAGTCTTTACAAAATATATAGATTAGTAATTATGGTTGATAATTAAGACTGAGCTAGAAAGTAAGAAATCCTAGTCATTGGCCAGCAGCATTGTACCTAATATTAATCTCTGTATGTTATTTTGGGCACCTAGGTGGCAGCGGGGCTAGGGTGGCTTGGTGGAAAGATTTGTCGTTACAGACCAGGATGGCCTCAAACTCAGAGATCCACCAGCCTCTGCCTTCCCAGTGCTGGAATTAAAGGTATGCACCACCACACGTGGCTCTAAGCTTTTCTTTAATTTTTTTTTCACAAGTTGAAAACTTAGCTGGGTGGGATCTTGCACTGAGGTCACAACTCCCTTTATTTCATTTTAAATTTGTTTTATCTTCTTGAACACAGTGCTAACTCCATTACACTTCCTAGTGCTCCTTTTATCTCAAATTGTTCTACACCTTGTATTTTTTTCTTGCTCGGCTTGCTCCTTTTCATTATAAATCTTCATTAGCATTACCACTAATAGTGTATACAGAGTCTACACTAGTCCATTTTGAGATTTCCTCTGCCCACAGAATGAATCCACAACTCTTCAGTTTAGCTTCAGGCAGCCTTTTCAGACAAGGGGGAAAAGCAGCCACAATGTATTTATCACCTGGTTGGCTACTGTTCTTAAATATTTTCACATGCTTATCTCAAATCAGATTCCACAGTTAATGAAAAGACATCTTTTTGACATCTTTTTGTTAGGTTTATCTTTATTTCGTAGTCTGCAGAAAAACCACACAATATTAAAAAGCAAAAATACTGAAACTTTTATTTTTGACATCTTTTTGTTAGGTTTATCTTTATTTCGTAGCCTGCAGAAAAACCACACAATATTAAAAAGCAAAAATACTGAAACTTTTATTTATGTGGTGTATAATTGCAGTAACAAAAATTTACCATGAACATAGAGCTGAAATACTGTCATGATTGGCAATTAGATATGATGCTGTAAAATTTGCTACATTTCATGATTTTTCACAAGAAAAACCTCAGTCTGGTTTGTTCATACTCATGAACTCTCACGTTATACTCACTTTCTGTGTGACATACTTTTTATTCTTATTTTTCTGAAGAGTTTCTGAAAGAGAGTTGTGAAGATCACAGTGGCAATGAATCCCTTTATCCCCTACAGGAAGCAGCAGGCAGGTTTGATTCTTTTAACTCTTTTGGGAACGATTATCTTCAACGACAATAGATCTAGTAGGAGCCACTTCCACAAATACGTATCGAAATTCAAATTGGCCACTCTGTGGGTGCTGAAAAATGTGCAGAAGTAGTTACCTTCTCCAGAGCTTAAGCAACACTGTGCTCAGAACCACTGGGCCCACTGAGCCCTCCGACCCCCGTGACCCCCGTGACCCGTGACCCGAGAGTGGTGGCGTACCTCTTCCACTTCCACATGCACTGTTCCGTGCTTCCCTGGTTCAGAGCCCTCAATGTAGAATTTCACACGGATGCGCTTTAGCCCGTTTTTTTCATATTCAATAAAACTGTCAAGAAAACATAAAGATGACATCCAAGTTCCTTTTATTAAAAATTTATCCTAGAGTTCTCTCAAGGGCACTGTATTACCTGACATGCTGTCTCCGCCCACGTCTCGACATTTCCCCGTAGCCTTTGACAGGCTCCCCAAACACACTGATCACCTGCAGAACAGAGACCATGATTATTTAGTGTGATTTTCATGGCTCCTACATGAATATTTTCTGACAATCAACTGATCCATTATCTGTTTGCAAATTCTAAGTGACCTCAGGGGGGAAATCAGCATGATGAGGGCACTTCACAAAGACGGTGACTCAAACAAGAAAACTAGCAATAAGAGGGCATTATGTAAAAAATCACACTGCTAGTAAGTAAATATCTCATGCAAAGGGACAGAAATGGCCACTATGTGTTGTCACTTGTAGCTTTGGAATGATACAGGCTGAGGTGAAGCTGTCCCCTCTCCTTACAAGAAACAAAATAAACCAAAGTGTTGAAATATTTCTCTACTAACACTCATTTTGGAAGACAAAATGGACAGGCATTTGAGGTAAAATTTTTAGATGTCTACTATTAAAAATGAAAATTTAAAGCCCTGAGCACAGTAAGGGGAGGACATCAAGTAACACTGGCACTTTTAAACCAGGTGCAAATCTTTTTTTCCTAATGAGAAAAATTCACTTGATGTAGAAACGGTTTGCACTGAAGTTTCAAAGCAAATACGTTGGAATCCTCTGTAAAAACACAAAATGAATATAAAAGGAAAACACCATATTGAGTCTCTTTGATGGGTGTCCTTACTACTTCAAGCATCCATGAAAAGTAAGGTTGTCACCAGACACCCAAGACCTAAGAGTTGGAAGAAGGACTAACTGTCAAGGAGTTAACAGGTTAAACCCAGCAGTGTCAGATTAGGATTATCTACTGTAAGGCAGGCAAACAACCAGTACCAACAAGACAGACCTGCAGAGGGTACGGACCTGATAGAAAGCTGTGATCTCAATAACACCCATTCTTTCATATACTCTGTGTGGTTCTATCTGTCTCAATGTGAAAATGCCTGAGAGCCTGAGCCTGTGAATTCCAGGACACCCTAACACAGGCTAGGTGCCTACTGGAGACCACACAGAATTCTCTGAATTCCAAACTGGCATGGACAGAATGGTGATCATTGCTGCTTGTCAAAGTTCCTGCATTTCAACACTGCAGACCACACATCTCCAGCACCCTTTTCCTTTCATTTTTAATGATTCTCAATAGTAATTCTCTTCCCTTTGGGAAATTTTTTGTGGGCTTTGGTAAAAGGATAAAAATGTGTATAATCGCAGCTTCTCTAAACAAAATAATTGTTTGGAAAAAAGATCCCACCATCGTGGAACCAGGAGTTCTACTGTGCCCTCCTAATTACACCAAGAATAGGAAAGTTAGAGATTTACTAGACACACCTGATGGCAAGGATGAAATGCCTACAATTCAGATGCAGAGCCTGAGCCCATTAAAGGCAAGAGTTCAGTTAATTAATAAACATAGAGAAATCAGAATGGTCCGGTATAATATGGAAAGAGTAAGCCTTCAGGACATCCCCGTTTAGCAGTGTTACAAGGGGAACAGGCCCGTGTAGTTAAACTAAGAAACTGCCAGACACCACCAGCTTCTGAAGTAACCACCCTGATGCAGAGGCATTTAACACCCATGAAGAACGGATAATGACCACTGGCATGGCGGGGAGGAAGACATACATAGTGACTTGTATCACTATGTATGTCTAGTGCCAGGATTAAAGTGACTCAGTGAACAAAGGCGTATGATATAAAAGCAACCCCAACAGCTCATCATTGTACAATGTCACTGCTTCAGAAGTGATGCTTTCCTGCTCCCCAACACCTTCTCATCAGGGAACTAACCTCAGGGTGCATTCTGCATTTTTCTAGGGCTTTCCCATATATGATGTTAGGACTGGATGAAGAAAACAGTTCTTTGAAAATCGTGTAGAACAAGCCACCTGAAAAAGCAGAGAGAAAGATGAAGCAGAGCCACAGGGTGGGAGGCTGTGGAGAGGTATTCAGGCACTTGCTAGGTTGTGTCACCTGTAATGCTGACTCCGAAGAGCACCACTATCAAGTAGGTGAAGTCTCTTCCGGCTTCCTTCACTGGGAAGAGAAAATGTTGATAGGTTACAATGTATCCACAGTACCCTGGTTCCTGGGGCTTTGGGTGTTCTTTGCAGGTGGCCTATGGGGCTTAGGGCCCAAGGCAGCATCTTCAGCAGATGATCTCAATGTTCCTGAGCTTCTCAGTTTGAAAAGAATCCTTCACTCAAGTGCTGACTAGGCCTAGCTCTGATTGGCTTCCGAGTGCAGATGAGAATGGGCTGTTGTTCAGAACTGGCATGGCTGTACACAGGGGATAGCCATTTTTGCACTACTTTCACTGGATTTCATAATGTTGACACTGCTTTCTTTCTAGTGGCAGAAAACCCTTATCAGTCTCTCAGAGTGAGGATGTCCAAGAGATGAGGGAACGTGGGCACAGGTCTACCCTATCTGGACCAAGAATGCCAACTCAGTCAACCGAAAGATAAGGGAAGAAAGGGACCCAAAGAGGAGTAACACTTACACCCCACAGGTCCCCACTGACTGGCACATAAAGTTCTTGAACTGAACTTGGAATTGGAAGGTAACTGGCCAGGATGATCTATGAATTAAATAAACCTACAAAGGCTGTTCTTATTTTTCTGTACTAAGTAAGTATATGAATGTGTGGATTAATGATAATTAATAAGTCATATTATTATCAGGGAGCATTATATTTACACACATTATTTATGTAAATGCATATGTGAAAAGCTACATTATCACACTGTACTTTTTCACAGATGCTGAGAACATTTACCTCTTTGGTACACATACAGGTTGGAATAGTCACATTAGGAACCCAGGTTTCTCTAACTTCAATCCTTAAGAATTTATTTTTCCAGGAAGTCAAAAATTTAACAGGTGGTATTTTTCTTCCTCACTTTTCATATATACAGTAAAATATTACAATAAAACTACTTATTTAAAAGTAGTCTTTACCATAACATACTTTCAGGTTTTAGTACAGGTTGCTAACTTGAAATGTGTTCAGAGACTGGAGAGATGGCTCAGAGGTTAAGAGAATTTGTTGCTCTTGCAGACAATTGGAGTTCAGTTCCCAGCACCCACATCTGGTGGCTCACAATTGCCTGTAACTCCAGCTCTGGAGAGGATCTGACAAACTCAACCTTTTCTTTTCCTGGCTTCCATGTTCACTTACACTCATGTGCACACACACACACACACACACACACACACACACACACACACACACACAAATATAGGATCGATCCAAATTCCAAATAGTAATTGCTTCACAAATGCAATCTCTTTACTAGGCTCAGAGGCTGAGCTCTGCCATGACAATCTCTAATCCATTATCCATAATGTCATAACCTACATGTCAATAGACACTGTGTGAGGCCCCAAACTGAAATGCAGAATAATTAGACTAAGACATAACCATACTTGTTCCTGCTTTCCAAATCTGGTAACAGGCCCAAAATCCTGTTCCTCCCAGCACTCAGTCCTGACAGGAATTTACTAATTCAAGTACCATTAGCTCCCATAATATCTACTGTGTGTAAAGCTGTGACTATTACACACAACTTGCTAAGTTTTAAAAATTCCTGTTAAATATTACAGTGTAGTGTTCTTCGTCCTTCTTACTTTTTTGACCTAATATTCTCACATTAGACCCTTATGCCTTCTGTTTCTGCAGTCCTCTGCCTCTGCTATTAACGGTAAAACACCTTCTCTATTGATTGACAATAATATCTCTTCCTTTTTATCCACACGATTTTTATTCACAATGTAATAATTATATCAAATTCAAGATCAATTTTAAAAACAATTATAAAGTTGTGAAAACTGTGGGTCGACATTGGTTGTAAACTATGTATCAGTTCTATTCTTTTTCTCTGTATAATTCCCTTACCCCATCTTTAGACATGAACTCAGCATAAAATGGTATTTGGCAGATTTTGTCAGGTTGGCTGGGGAGGTTGTTCTTTACTGAAGTACTGTATATTTTACCTTTCTGAGAAGTTGAGACGCTGGTTTCCCCTCTCTGATTTCTGTGAATAGACACTTGCTTGCTGCTGTCCTCCTTTGCTTTCTGGGGGTCCGGCCCTTGTGTCCAGAAGGTTTTCTGGGCGAACCCAATAGCAGTTCTAGGATGTACTGTTTTCTTCTGCTCTAGCAGCCCCCATCTCAAAGGCTGGGTCTGCAAGCAAGCTCTGGTGAGCACAAAGTGTGGCAACAATTGCTTGCCCAAGGAACGGGGCAGCTTCTCCACACGCTGCACAACTCGTAGAAAAGCACAAAGCATGTTCACCAAACCTGTGAGGCTTCGGGACTGCAACTTCTAAAGTTTAGTAATTCACACACTCAAGCGGACAAGATATGGAATAAACTACTCATGGACATCACACAGTGTGTTAGGCGGATGTCAAGATGAAAGTCTCCAAGAGAGGTGAAGGACTCCTTTCGGTCCTTTTTTTACCTCTTGAATTAAAATGCCCTGTTTACCTTACTATTGACATTCACATCTTGCCCGCCATACTTTCGCAAAGCAGCCTGGGAAACCCCACGCGTCCTGGGAATCGCAGTTTAAGGACTGGGTCTTTTACCGTGCGAACACAGAGAAAGGAAATCAGGATGGACTACATCTCACACAATGCCAAGCGGCCACCTCTGCGCGGGTTGCCGCGCGTGCGCAGAGCGTCCTGACGGCAGGAAGAGGCGGGGTTGTTAATGGCTTTCTAGGTAAAATAGAACTTGCAAAGTCCGACTAGTTGCAAAGCGCGCGTTCTCACGGCCTGGCTCTAGAGGCCTGCCGTCAGCCTTCCCGTTTCCTCCCCTTTCCTCGCCCGCGTAGATGAGCCGGGCCACCACAGGCCATGAGCTCTGAACAGCGAGCGGGCGTCAGGATGACCGGGGCGAGCGACGGGAGCCGGAGCCGGAAGTGTCCCGGACGTGGTTGGGGACGCAAAGGCGG